GAAAATTACCTTCATATTGGTGAAAGACATTTGTTAGAAACAAAAAAGTTAAATGGTTTGTTCATGGTCAAAAAGCGTCCCACTAAGAACCACACGAAGCAGCCCTGGAAAAATACATGAACGCTCCATTGCACCTTTGTCCAACAAACAGGCCCTCTTTATGGTCCACTTCCGGTCCGCCGGCCGCTACATGACTGCCACTGTTTATACGTTTCTGCACGTTTTCACAACAGTAGCTAGCAGGCTAGAAGCAAAATTGACATCAGCAAATCCAAAAACACTGACGTTGCGAGCGTGATAGCTACTTTTGTTTATTAGCTTTGACTATCTACCAAAAGGTAACAACTTGCTAATGGCATTAGCAAGTTGTTACCTTTTAGCGATCAATAGAGGAAAAAAGATCAACTTGCCGTCATCCACGTTACAGTACATTTCCAGTTTAAAGCAGGTTTTAGCTCCGTTTCTGCTCAGCCTCAAAAAGCAGAAACATTTGGACTTTAGTCCAGAAAAACCGTCCCTTTAGGTGGCTGCCCTCTGTCGGTGACAGCAGAACCATCAGACACTTTGACCGTTTCCGTGTCGCTTTATTTCATTACGTGTTAACAAAATGGCTTGTTGGTTCTGCAGCAAGAAGAGTCTCTCTGAATATACATATAACTTCATAACAGTCATTATACTATTTTAAAATTACATCAATCTTAGTTTCATAAATAAATCATTAAATTGTGTCAATTTTAAGCTAAAACAACAAACATTTGAACTGAGACAAGGTGAAGGCCCACATAAACAAATGGTAAAATTAAAATCTTTAAAGCGAAGAGTGACAATTATAGGGATCCACACACAATACAACCAACATTTATATAAAATTATATTGTGCTTTATGCAAATAAAACATTTTAAGTGGTATTACTTATGCTGCAATGACTTAAGTCTATTTCCTGTTAAAAGTACCCAACAGTTTCCAGTAAAAAAAAATAATAAATTGAAATAAAAATTAATCTTAAACCAAACAAAACCAGGCCATGTTTTAATGAGGTTAAATTTATACCCAGCAAACACATATTTAAAGCATACGGGTTTCACACATAATAAATCTAGACCAGACACATTACATTAGGGTTTGTAAAGTTCTGAAATAAACTTTCTCAAATGAATAATGTTCCAACGTTCAGCTGGATAATCCTCATGAGTTCAGAGAACGTGTTTCTCTTGTTTTCTAAACATCCTGTATGATTCTTCAATTAGAAACGACTGCTGATGGGCAAGTTTAAACCCTCATCAGAACCTGACTAACCTCCTCTTCCTCTCTAGTTTTGTGTCTTCGTTGAGGTTTCCTCTGTTGTTTACATCAGAGCACCTTGCTTTCGTTACAGTGGACGGCAGCGTTTTGTCCCCCCCCACCCCCCAGCTGTCGTCACAGTCTCGTGGACTTCATAAACGCTCGCTCTTCTTCTGCTCCCTTTTATTTATTGCTCGCGCCGATGTGAGGCGCTATAGTTCAGAGCGAGAGCGGGAGATGCGGGGGCCTTTTCGGATTTCTTTCCTCTTCTCCTCCTTCCTCCTCCTCTTCTCCTCCTCCCTCAGGATCTTCTGGAAAGCTTCGGCAGTGTGCAGAACCTGAAACAAATGAGAGAAGGCCCAAGAGATTGTTTTTATTTATTTATTATGAGGAAATTGATTTAAAAAAAGGATTGTTGTTAATGATAGAAAAAAAAGGTTGTGATGAAGAAAGAGGAACGCTCATGCATCACACTCACATCATCTCTTTCTGTGCGGTACGGGTTTATAAAGTCTGGGGATTTCTCTGTTATTCCCAGCTCCTGCGACATCTACAAGCAAAAAAATACAATGACAAAAGAAGATGGTGATGATACATTATAATTTTCTTTAAAAAAATACAAATTTGGGGTTGCTGCATCAGTGATGACTGAACTTGTAAACGAAGCAGGCAGACTGCAGCTTCCACTCAGAATTAACCTACTTCCTAACATTCTTGGCACATTTCAAAGGTTGCAGATTAATCCTGACAGAGTTTAGCTAATTGATGTTTAAAAATTGGGAAATGTTTCATCAGCATTGCTCATTTCTGCTTCAAAGACTGCGATGCTGTAAAGGAACAACGTGTCAGCAAAGGGCATTATTTAGTGACAGAGATACAGTAGCAGTCGCACTGAATTCTACATTAAAAAAGCATTTACTCTAATATTTGTCAGTAGAAAAAGAATAAACCATCATGCAAATAGACACCAAGTTATTCCAATAAAATTTAAATAAGCTAAAAGCGTCTACTTTTAGCTTGAAACTTTAATGGTTTTGAACTGAAACAGCTCTTTCAGCAGTTTCTTTCTAGAAGCTCTTGTTTCCGACACCCTTAAAGCTAAAGACGTTAGATTGCGACAGAGGTGCCGTTTCTGACAGGTTGCCAGGTACGCGACTAAACGTGTGACCGTCTGTCTGCTCTTACAAGTGTGAGGACGTGCTGGTGGGCTCCTCCTGTGAAAACTCCCGTCTGGTTACAGAACTGAAGCCCCCAGCGCAGCAGGCCGCTCCAGTCAGAGTTGCGGTCGTAGTAGTGGTGGACGATACGAGGGAAGCGCAGCGCCACGTCGCCAAAAAACGCCGTGTTCTCCACAACGTGGGAATAAGCTGCAAAAACAGCACAGCGTGAGGCGAGTTAATCAGATGTGTGGAAGCAGASAGAATGGAGCTGAGTTAGACAATACAGGAGAGTTTTACACGACCAGGGCTGCACACAGCTAAACAAAAAGGTTAGCTTCACTAATCACAATTCAGATAAACAAGAATCTTAACTCTGCTAAAAATTAGACACAAACCTGTTGCTAGTTTGATTCTATTGGTTTAATTTGAAGGTGGGCGGGATCATTTGCAGCTAACCAGCTAATGCAATAGCTCTATCTAACTTGTGATACTTCCAGTATAACCTTTTCAGAATAAAAGCATTTCTTTGATGAGTTTGTGTTTTTATAAATACCATTTGAAGTCAAACAGCAAATACTTTCTCTACCATATTTTATAGCCATTTTTGTATTTGTCATTTAAATATTGTTAAATGTTATTTTATTTCTTTTAGAGGCTCTTAGTTTGAAGTTTAGCTGGTAAAGATGCTACATGTTACACACACATCCAGCACTGCTTGTAAGAGGGGGTAGGTTTTTTTTAATTAGGGATAAAAAGGCATAAAAAAATAGAAGTTCCCTCTGTTCGGAGAAAACCAACCAGCCTATCAGCACAAACACCTCACACCACCGCACGGTGGTGGAAGGGTGATGATCTGGGCTTGTTTTACAGCCACAGGACCCGAGCCTCAGGTAGCCATTGGCTTGTTCATAAACTCCTCGGCAGAACAAAGTATTCTAGAGTCAAATGTGGGACTGTCTGTCTGACAGGTAAAGCTTGGGTGAAATGGAGTCACGATGCAACAGAACACTGGGCCTCATGCAAGAACATGTTCGTATTCTTATCCTAAATTTCTCTTACTTTTGTTAGTACAAAGGGTTCGTACGAACATGCCACGTCAGATTCAACAATCCAGCTGCTCGTGCACGAGGAGAGGAGATTAGCATAATTACCACCCCAAAAACACCATATAAGGATATGTTTCCTGCCTCAGATATCAGGAAGTGTCCATTCATGAAAATGACAGCGAAAAGTAAAAAGAAGAATTTTACGAGTTCAGAGATTGAAGTCATGCTCTCTGAGATCGAAAAAAGAAAACCTGTCATTTTTAGCAGCGTCGTGAAATTAAAGGAGCTGCTAAAGCCAAAGAATGGAATGAAATAACAACTGCTGTTAATGTCGTGTCTCCTGTGGGTCGTTACAGTCACAGAAATAAAAATCTAAATCATAAAGAAAAAAATTGTATAGGTC